GGGATCCATCCTCAGTAGAAACCCCAAGGGGGGTCCATCCTCAGTATAAATCCAGACAGGGATCCATCCTCAGTAGAAACCCCAAGGGGCAACTTCATTCTCTATAAACCTAGAGGGGTAGGTCTAGGATCCAGGAGCAGGTGCTATGGAGGCAGACACTTTGGCTATGTAAGTATGTCACCTCTAAACACATCAGAGCATCCTGGAGACAAACCTTTATGTTGCTAGTATATGTTTTCCTGACTCTTTGGCAAAATACAAACTTAAAGGGAAAGCAGTCAAAAGTATTCCTTAAGATGAACCCAGGGCTGGTGTCGCACGGGTGGCCGGGCGGCACACTGCAGCCCAAAGGAGCCCCAGCCCGTCCCTCTCTGCCATGCAAACCTGCAGTGCTGCTGGTTAGTGGATGACACACAGGTTAGTGTCCAGGCCGCTGTCCAGCACGCACTTTACGGGGGGCAAGAAAGCATTCCCTGACCCTTCTCGTTGAAAGGCGTGTGCCAGGCGAGGAGGTAGTTATCCGGCTTCAGCTGCGAGCAGCCTTCCAGGGTAGCTGGATCTGCCCAATGCTCCGGAAGCTTCTCAAGGACTTCCACGTAGCGCCTCACCATCTCCCGGTACAGGTCGTCCAGGCACCAGTAGTCTGGGGAGGAGAGAGGACGATGGGGTCAGACTGAGCAGGAAGCCCCCAGGGCGGCAGGAACAAGGCAGGCGGCAGGAAGCTCCAAGTCCCCACAGGGGTAGAAGAGGAGAAAGCTTCTGGCGACCCACCTCCCACAGTCCTGGCTCCCTAGAGCTGTACAGCATGCACACAGTTCACTCTAGATTTTACGTAGAATTCAGATTGTGCTTTTCATTCTGGTTACACAGGAGAATCTAGACAAAACCCACAATCCTCATCTCCTGCCAACAGTTCTAGCCACATGAGGACAAACCGGCCTGAGATCTGCCTCTTCCTTGGGGTTTCACAAGCCCGTGTCCACACAGGGAGCTGAACCTCTGCACTTCGTCTGCCTTCTCCCTCCTGTGAAGCAGTCAGTGCAGACCCAGTTTGTCCCAAACCGCACCCAGTGTGGGACGGCATCCTGGGGACAAGCATGGTCTCAAGTCCCGCGAGGCGCAGGGACGTGGAGGGCAGAGGAGCTAATGCACCGTCTACCTGCTGTCTCGGGGGCACTGCCCCTAGATGGTTGCAGGCGCCCCCCCAACACTGCCGGTCTTGTCGTGTTGGGGTTACAGGTAAGGCTCAGTGGGTTATGCCACTTGCCCGAGGCCAGAGATGATGGTAAATGGAGAGTCCGAGTGCAAAAGGCCTGAGCACGGCTATCATTAAATAAATGTGCAGCGTGGTGGATGGAGGCCACATAGCTCCAAACGTGGGGTCCAATTTGCCTTGTTCCATCAGAGAGCAGGGCCAGGTGGTGGAGGGAACGCTGTGTTGGGCCAGCTAGGCAGGTGGAGGGCGCCAATGTGACTTGCACAGCCACCAACAAACTCATTCTGTACCCAAACTGCATTTCAGGCCTTTGGGCTGGCCTAAGAAGTCGGGACTGCCCTCTTTTGCGTGGGGTGCATACCCCAACTTTTGGGGGGTGTGGGAGAGGGGAGGACGGAAGGAGGGAGCCCCCCCAGGGCCGGACCCCCACGTGGTGGTGAGGGAGACAGTCTCTCCCTGCTCTGGGACTGGAGCCACGGTTCCTGGCACCATCAGGGCCGGCGGGTCCTCGGGCCCTGAAGCTGTGACTCTGGAAGCAGGACTTGTCCTCAGTCCTTCTGTCCCCAGCTCCACACAGCGGGCATCCTGTGGGATGCACCATGCGTGGCCCGGGTCTGAGTGGGGATGCAGAGTGTGTGGCCAACCCAGGGGCGGGAGGGGTGGGCTTTGCGGGGCACGTAGCCGCTGGGCTTGTCCTGACCCTGGGGCCAGCACCTCCCTTACAAACAGCCTGTCTTAACTTGATCTGGGGTTAGCAAGCCTGGCCTTTCCAGAGTCCCTCAAATAATTCATTTTATTCTGGAATCACATCCTTCTGAAAGAAAAAAAAAACCTCCTTAAAAACAACATGGCAACAAACAGTCTTCTGTTTGTTTCAGGTTAAAATTCAAACTAGAAGTGGATTTTCCAAAGCTGCAGTGCCACAGACCCCTTGTCAGAGTTTCTCCACTTTGTGACAGGGCTTTCCAGCCCATTCTTCTCCACCTTCCCACCCAATCTCCTCAGAGACGTGTCTCCCAACCAATGTCACCATAAAGAAAAGGCACACGACCCTTATCAACTCGCTTTGTAGTAAAAATGTCAAGTTTTCAAAATGCTGTTACCATCAGGGAGCCAGTGATGGAGGAAGAGAGAGGGTGAGTCTGGACAGGCTTGGTCTGCTCACATGTGGGCCAGGCCCATGTTCCTGTGCAGGTAGGACACGCCCGTGGCACCTGCCGTGGTTCCCAGTGGGCTCATGCCCCCACCCCTCCTGTGTGGCCACGGCAGATGGAGCTGCTGACCCTCAGACCAGGACACTTAGAAAGACAGGCATTAACTACCTTGCCACGAGCCATCTTCCCTTAATAATTGATTGCGTGCCCGTACTGCCCCACTTAATCTCACTTAACCCTATGACGAAGGCATCAACATCCCGAAGGGCAGGAGGGAAAGCAAGCTCACGAGTTTTAGGCCCAGGGAATGCCAGGCCCCAGGGCCCCCGAGGCGGAGCCCCCTCCCCATCCTTGGGCGACAGGCACAGGGCCACACACACACCAGCCTGTGGTGTGTGCAGTGAGCAGGCGGGGCACACTGTGGAGACTGGATTGCCCACTGGCCTGAGGGGTACAGGACACCGCTTCCGGGGCCAGGATCTGATCTCGTCCAATTCTGCATGTGCCAGAGACACGGCCCAAAGTAGGAGATCACGCGGGCTTCCGTGACCCGGCATCTCCCTCACGACAGCGGACCTCACGGCCTCACAGCACGGAACAGAGGGACGCACTTGAAAATGCCAACCCACTTGATGGAAGTCTGTGGGTCTTTGGGAAAAGTGGTGAAGAACCACCGTCTGTCAGGATTCTCGAGGTCCCTGTGTGGCCACTGACTGCAGGTGGTCGGGACGGCGCTGAGGAGCTGATGTGTTGGAAGCGAGTTATTTGGTCCCGTCCCTGCTCGCTCACGTGGCTGTGGGGCATCGGGCAGCTCGCTCACGTGGCTGTGGGGCATCGGGCAGCTCGCTCACGTGGCTGTGGGGCATCCGCGCCTGTGTCTGGAGTGCTGTAATAACGACGTAACCCTCAGGGTGACGTGAGGGCCAGACGAGGACACGGGCGGGGTCAGAGCACACCAGGGCTGGTGGTCCCCGCGAACGGGGCTCAGAGGCCCCTTTAAGGCTACAATTTGCTACTTTTTCATAAAGACTTTACTTATTTGACAGAAAGACACAGCGAGAGAGGGAACACAAGCAGGGGAGTGGGAGAGGGAGAAGCAGGCTTCCCGCCGAGCGGGGAGCCCGACGCGGGGCTCCATCCCAGGACCCTGGGATCATGACCTGAGCCGAAGGCAGACGCTTAACGACAGAGCCACCCAGGCGCCCCAACAATTTGCTATTTATTGAAAAAAGATCCAGCTGTTTGACAACTACATTTAAATAAAATTTCAACTTAGAGTTTTAGTGACTTGGAAAAAAATCTGCCTGCTGAGCTCCTGGAGACTCAGAGTCAGGGGTGGTGTTCACCAGCGTCCCCTCAAGGCTGGCGGGCCAGACGGTGCTGAGGGCACAGCAGCCCCCCCGCCCACGGCCGGAGGCGGGGGGCACGTGTCTGCTTGGAAACAAGGCCCCAAACACCCCCGTCCTCCCACATTTCACATTGGGGCAGATTCTGTTCTATTTCTGTCAAGAGGGCTTAATCTAATCTCAAGAGAGCTGGTCCCAGTCGGCTGGAGACTGCGGACACGCCGTGGACTCTGCCCTCACCAAAGAGATGAGTGCAGGACACGGGGGACCGAGCACACGTGGCCGGCCACAGACACCGTGGAGGGAGCAAGGACCAGCTGCGTGCAGCCCAAACACGCAGGGCTCTGCTCTGGGAGACTCGCACGCCGGCACGGTCTTAGGGCCAGCAGGCAGGTGGGCATCCCTGCTTCGGTTAGCCTGAGAACACGAGAAACTGGAAACACTCGGATGTCACGGTTGTGTAGACTCAGAGAGGCGCCCCACCACTCAACGCGCCACGACGCTATCTTATCTGTGTGCTCCAGCCCTCGCCCGGGTTATTTTGGAACGGCTGCAGCGCGGCCAGCATTCCTGCAGGATGAGCACAGAGCTAAGCTGAGCGAGCCCACGGCGCGGGCCCGACACTGGACCTCGTTGCCTCAGCATCGCCCCGGACGTTCACTTTGCAGCCGCTCACTGATAGCACGCACAGGCTGGTAGCCTGAACCTTGTGGGAAAGCCGCGCTTGCACACCCGCTGCTTGTCTGTAAGTCGTGTAAACACGTGGTCCTGCCATCCACCTGCTCCCTCCCCGGCCCCCCAAATTCACCGCGTCTCCCCATCTCCCCAGGATGTGCTCTGTTTAAGCAGATATCTGAATCCTATTTTGGGAGATGGCGTTTTGACTCAAATTCATTGGGATTTAGAAGTAATCCCCAAACAATGTTATCTTAATGGGCCCAAATTTCAAATGGGCTTATTATTTTTCTATTCTTTTGAGAAAAATATCAGAGGGCTTACTATCTGCCGTGAAAGGTTGAACCCTCTCCCCAAACCCTCTCCCCAGCCCCAAAGTGAGAGATTCAAGTGGTTTCACTCTGGAGACACGTTTACACACACGAACCAAGAGTCACGATTTCGGAGGCTGACGGCAGACAGGCAGTGACAGGACCTGTAGGGGCCGCGCGAAGGGGCGCTGGTGTGTGGGGGGCCGGCGGGGGTGGGGGCGGCTCACCTGTGGTCAGGGCCCCGGCCGTTGTCAGGTGCATGATGGTGTTGTCGCTCACAGGCCACGTCTCTGGGGAGAGGAGCAGGTGGTCCAGGCCCCCGCTTGTCTGCGGCCCCTCCCGGACCTTCCTGCCTGAGGCACTGCTGTCCTTGTGGGCGTTTCTGTGCCCGAGTGCGTCCCCCACGGCCCCCAGCAGCATGGCAGCCTTGAACTTCTCCATGGGGAGGCTGTTCCTCTGGCCCTTGGCTTCGTGGCAGCGGCCTTCAGTGCGTCCCACCGACCTCTGCTGTGCTCATAGTGCCGCTCTCAGGAGCTCCCTGAACGGCCGGCACGCCTACCTCCGCGGGCCGGCGGCACCAATGAGAACCTCCCTGGCCCCCTCTGCTCCCGCGCCCGCCGAGGAGCCACGTGGACGGCGTCCCTCCCTTCCGCGTCAGCACAGGCACCAGCTCGGAGCCGAGGAGCCGGGGGCTTAGTCAGCGTCCCCAACAGCTGCGGCCGCTTCCCGAAGAGCCACGACCTCTAAGCACTGAGCCCTTGCCAGTGTTCTGAAGACGCGCACATTCCTAAAGCTTCAGGGTGGAGTCCGTGCAACCGGCCGCCCCGCTCCCAGGCACCTGCTCCTGTACCCTCCGCCCTGACAGCTTGTCTTCTCTCGCATTTCAAGTAAATGGAATCGTAGACTCTCTGGCCTTTGTGCCCGACATTCACTCAGCAGAATGTTGAGTTTCATTCATTCCGTGCACGGTTTTACTTTTTGGAAAATCTTTTTGATTACACACAGTTTGGCAGAAAACCTAGGAAATGTGTGGGGCCAAGGAGAGGAGCAGCTCTAGGGCCCGTGCGGTGCGGGGCTCACTCCCCGTCCACGCAGCAGGAGGTGGGCTCTCCTGGGACCGGGCTCTGGACCGCAGCCTACACGCAGACATCCCCAGATCTGCGCAGAGGAGGAGGCCAGGGTGCAGATGAGCAAACCAGGCTCTGGGGTGGAAGTCGGGAGTTAGGAAGCAGTGTCCCCGCCTGCCGTGGGCCCGCGGGACCTGGCCACTCATTAGACCAGAAGTGGGACCCATCACACCTGGATCTGAGAATCATGTCTGATAAGAATAGCATTTCTTTCACTAATAACCAGATACTTGAGCACAGGGAGTGTTCAATCAGCACTTGTTACAAGGAGGCTCTGGAATAGTCTTCCAGCCAGCAGGGTCCTGTGGGGTGAGGCCTGTGTGCTCCCCATCCAGCGGGACAAGACAGGCGCGCCACTCAGACCACCATCCGGCGCGGGTGGAAGAGCGTCGTTCGAACACCTACTTGGATGAAGAGGTGGTCTGTGGCTCATTTCTTCTGCTGGCTCTGAGGCTGTGGAAACCTTTCGTGAAGTGGCCAGGAGCAGCTCCATGCTGTCCGGGCTGCGTGGGCGCCCCCCCACCTGGTGGGGGAGCTTTCATGGAGCCCCAGTGTGCGCCTGGAGTCTGAGGGCCAGAGTGCAGCACTCCAACGTGCACACGCCCCAGCATGGGAAGACGGGGTCCCATCTCTTCCAGAAATTCCTGGCAGGCGCTCCGTATCTTTACTAAGCCCTATTATATCTGGGTGGTTTGTGTGTTCTCAATATATTTACAGTTTGCATTCCAGTGTGTTCTGGTATATGATGCCCATCAGCTAAAGGAAAGCCTCTGATTTTCACATGGAAACAACCACATTTAGTGGGCACACTCTGGTGATGGAAAGGAGAGCACCCGGCTAGGCTGTCCGTCTAAGCAGGGGTGCAGGCTGCACACGGGGGGGGGGGTGTCCCCAGAGGGGCTGTGGCCCTGTGGGTCCCATGGTACCCAGCACCTGGGCAGCCGAGAACAGAACCGGAAGGACACCACCACCATACCGGAGAAAATAATTTATTTTAACATTTCCGAAGCTCTTAGCACTCTCATAGCATGCATGCCTTAAATATATAGAAGAAAAAAAAACCCACGGTTTTTTGAAGAGCCTTTGTCCAACCACTAAGGTTCTGTTATCTATTGATAAACAGCTGCATAGAGCCTCCCCTGCCGTAACCCTGAATCTTAAGAATGAACAGGTGCTACAGACCTCCAGGATTTGTGGGAGATTACCCAAGCTCCACAGCCTTGTCTGAGCAGAACACTTCCACGGCAGGAAGCCACGAAGCCTCGAAGGATGCATTAAAATTGTAGAGGCTTTTATTCTACAAAATAAGTGTTCTCTTAGAACCCGAGGCTCGCGGGCGGAGACAGCCTTGTTTGTCCCTTTGCTGCCGTGGAAGCGCAGGCCTGGGAGAGCGGGCTGGGGCCGCCCCAGCCCCGACGGTGGTGTCCCGGCCTCAGGCCCCTTTCCTGCCTTCCACGGCCTGCTGTCCCTTTGAAAGACTCCTTTCCAAAAGCATACATAGTTCACACACAGCAAGTAGACAAAAACCCCCCATTGGGCGCGGGGCTTCCAGAAACTCAGAACCACATTTGTGAAAGTCAACTCAAGCACACATTTCAGGCACACTGTCCATGTACAGAAAATCCAAAGTGAGCTTCCTCTCTCCCGTGAAGTGACCCCAACTCATCTGTCTCGTACACAGGGTTGCGGGCCGGCAGCAGAAACACTTGTGACATGAAGATCTTTTCACGCATGAGGTAGGGTCCACACAGTGATTTTTAGAACACGCAGCTTTTTCCAAACGGAAAGCAGGTGGCATCACGGGCCTCCCACGCTCGGAGGGCAGGTTCTGGGCCTCGCTGGACGGTCTTCTCTGGCCAGCAAACACTGGAAGACTCAGACAGCAACATGACAAGCACGGGCTTCAGGTGGAAATGAGGTGGAGGTTTCCCCGTGGGTGTTGCGGGCAACGAGACGTGTGCAACCACACACACAGCCAGAGGGCGGGCGACGGGCCTCTCAGACACTGGAAGGAACCAACTCACATGACTTTTAAATCTGGAATCCTTTGCTTGTAAAAGAAATACTTTTCATGGAAAAATGTCTTTTTAAATGTAATAAAATACATTTTTTAAAAAAACATACTTTACAAAATTTTTTAGGAAGCTTATTCAAATGACATTGGAAAGAAAAGATCCGCAACTTGTCACCGTTTACAATAACGCCCCCGGGGTCACAGCCCACACGTGTCATCACCTTGCAAACTGCCACACACCGAGGACCACAGAATCACTTTCACGTGAACATCGACAGGGAATTAAAATAAAAATAGATCTAATAAATCTAGATATTTGATAATTCAGAAAATAGAAATCTCGAATTCCTGGCACCAGTTTATCAAATGTTTGAATCCATGTCAGATGTTCTGTAGGGCACACGGATACCAGCTTTGACTTGCAGAAAAACACAGCATCCTGCCGAGGACATAAATACTGTTTTTTAAGCGGACTTACAAGGCGCCCCGGCAGGAGCTGTGGTCACTGCTGCTGGCGATCACCGGACATCATGAATTAAATGGCACGCTCTGCCGCCCTGCAAACAGGCTCTGAGTCACTTTGTCGCAAGTATAATAATAATCAAGCAGAAATCTCCTAAAGTAATAGTCACCCCCAGGCATCCCAAAGCAGTGTCTTCTGAGGAGCTCCTTCCAGCGTCCAACTCAGCCCTTTCTGTAGCAGGGGGAGGTCATTCCGGCGCCTGGCTGGCCGAGGGTGACTGCCAGGGCCAGCGACACGGGCACAGCAACCGACCGAGCGTCCCCTTGCAGGAGGCCCTTCCTCTCAGCATCTTAATTTCCTGCCTAGAAAGGGCTGCGCTTAGCGCCCGTGACGACTGGCCGCGCGTACTCCACAAAATCATCTATGAGAACAGGCCATGCTCCTACGGGAAAGCAAACACACAGATATTTTAAGAAATCAACAGTTTAGAGTAATATTTTTGTATTCAGAGCATTCTTCTCACAATGTCTGTATTGCAAGAACTCAAGTGAGTTTTCCAGCCTGTTTCTCTGAAGGAATTGGCCAGTGAAACCCATTTCTCCGCCTCTGGCTGGACCTGCTCGTGCGGACACGGCCTCTAACGACAGGGCAGGCGGGGCTGGCTGGCTGCAGGGCCCCCTGCCCTCCCTGCGGAACACAGCTTCCTGGCCACCCGGCGCCCTTCCTTTTCTCCCTGGGGCCTTTCCCCTCCAGCCTAGGCCACCCCCACACTCCCAAGTGGCCCGGACCACCCAAGAACCTGGGACACCCCCCCCACCGGCCAGACACACACTCACTGTAGGCGGCTGGCTCCTTCCCCCTGGACGAGCCGTGTCTCGCTGCCATAGCTAAGCTCCCAGGAGCGGGGCCGGTCTAGGGTCAACTACCCACCCGTTCACTCACACCCTGCTCCATGCCCAGTGCAGAGGACACACACAGACACGCACGCCAGGGCGGTGAGCCTTCACTTTCCAGTGCCAAGAGCAGAGAGGTGAGGAGCTGCTCCAGAGGGTGGCCTCCAGGCTGGGCACGGAGGGAGCACACGGCAGGCGGGCCGAGACGGAGCCTCCTTCCCTACCGTGGCCCAGCACCCAGGGTGGCAGGCACGTAAATGCTCCCTGAAAGCTGGCCTGAGGTAGCTGGGGGGAGGGACCACAGATATGTGTCACACAGGATCGTGTACTTGGGGCTGCGGTTCCCAAACACCTCTCTGCATGGCCACCTGGGAAATGCTTTAGTTTAGGGGACACTCTCCTCTGAATCGAAGCTACATCTTGAAGCCCTATTTCTCTTTCGTGCAGTTGACAGACACACTAAAGGGGTAACTATTATTACAGCCATTACCCCTACTGCCCTGAGGGGGCGGCCCAGAGTCGGCTGGAGCTGGTCAGCACCGTCCTGCGCCCCGGGGCAGAGAGAGGCAGCCTGCATGTCAGCGTTTCTGGCCACCATCTGAAGCACCAGGACTTCCCGTACCTTCTTCGTCATAGTTAGACATATCATCTGCAATCATATTTCCAAAATCTAGCAGAAGGTTCCAAGTGTCCCTTGGGATTGATCTTTTGTGATGCTCCTAATACATAAGAGAAAAAAACCCACCAGACTTGAGAAACAGACGTGACCTCCAGCGTCCCACTGTCTAGTTGGCTCAGTCTGCAATCTGATGCAGACTAAGAACCACCACTCACACTGCTGGACATTAGGAACAGTAAGAGGCTTCCGGATAAATCTTAGGAACTGCACAGTATCAACATATAAATATGGAAAAGTAGACTTATTTAAAAAACAGAATAAACATTTAAAATACCAAGATTATAATCTGTTTCAAATACAAGGGCAGCACTTCAAATCTCTACCTAACCCCCACTGATTCAGACACCATGCAGGACAAACAGGCAAACTGCATTTGGACACAATTTATTTCTCTCTATACTAGGATGGGGTGATGGTCTAAAAACAGGTGATTCAATACTTGAGATCTACCAAACAGGTGGAGAACACCGCATGTCTGTGCTGGGACGCACCGCCTCGCGGAAGGTTCCACCCCGCAGTCCTGGCGGCCACGGTCCTCTCCCGCCCTCCCCTCCCAGCACAGTGCACCCTCAGGGACCATGCACCACGCTCACCCTGTCCTTGTGCATTTATCTAAAGCTACCCCAGGACATGCAGCAGCTTTCTCCCGCTCAGCAGTGGGCCTGGACTCAGCTGTGGTCACTGCGTCTGGGAGCGTTCTACTGACTTTTTACCCACTCTCCTGTTTAGGGCTCTGGGGGGGTTCCCAAGGTGCTGCTGTGAGGGTGCTGTCCCATCTCTGGGAACGTCTGCACCTGAGGTCGCCGGCCCCAAACTACTAAGTGGTGGAGCAGAGGAAATGTGATGGGCATCTCAGCTCCCCCACGCCGCTCCAAAGAGGCCCCTACACACACGGGCCCCCCGAGGAAGGATGGGCGTCAGCCAGGCTGGGGTCTGTGCCATGAGAAGTCACGCCCCCTCACACGTTCACGGAGGGAGCGACACAGTGGGTCTGGGCACACCGACGTCATGTGACTGTTCTGCAGCGAGACCCCATGCTCCACACGCTTCACACTGTGACACCCACTCCCTGACTCCCAGCAAGGAGGAGCCACCCCACCACGAAGGCCCAGCACCACTCAGAGGCCCGTCGCTGGCACGGACAGACTCTTCCAAGGGGCCAGCTAAGCCCTCCTTTTTCCTTCCGAACACATCGTAAACACATTTAAAAGTGTGTCAGACTATGAGCGCGCTGGACACCAGGTTACAATCCACAGTCTGGGGCCAGAATCAACGTCCAGGACATGTGTGACTGGTGCTTTCTTCAGGAATTTCAAGTTTCTCAGAGGAAGCACAGAATTAGTTTGAGTTCCTCAGAAAAGGTAGTGGATGGATGACGGACGGCCCAGGTCTGCAGGGCATCTGAAAGTCTAGCTGGGGGTTCTGTGTGTGGCTCCCTGAGCTGCTTTGGACGTTGGCCTCGGGACGGCCCTGCTTAGAGCTCCGTGGCTGTGGCACCGTGCATGGTGGTGTGGCCGTGTGGCCACCGTAAGGAACCCCGACGACCCACCGCCTGTACAGAACACCTTGGTCAGATAACACAGCCTTGTAATCTGCTGACCCCATCACACTGGGCACACACAGCAAGAAGCCGGAGGACACTTACCAGTAAGAAGGTGTTCCAAAGATCTAAAAATTTAAACCTTCCAGATAATACTAAATTCCAATATGCAACAGCCATTTCTAAATCTGGCAAAAAAGAGAGAAAGAGCAGTTAATAAATCCCAATTTCTTTTTCCACTGCCCAAAACATGACCACTTACTAGCACACTGATATTCACTTAGATCAATAAAACTCAGCACTCTTACCCAAGAGTCAGATGAAGCCTAACCCTTACACAGGTGTTCCTGAAATTGTGTGTAATCTAATCTTGTAACTCTGGGGATCTATGCATTTGTGATTCAGACATGTAAAGGATTATCCCCTCATTAACATCAGTGTTGCAGACTCTCGTTTTCATATGCGTCGGGTTTTCTTCAAACCTGACTGAACCAATCTGGATACAGTTTGTGCACATCATTTATTATCAGTGCTTTCCAAGTGGACCTGCCATTTGCTACCATGGGAGCGGAAAGAGTCAGACTCAGCCACACATGCACTATAAGGGCTCCACATTTCTCAAGACCGTGGCTAGAGAGAGAACGTCCACTGACAGAAGGACACTTAGAATCTAGACTGGGTATTTGTCAGAGTCAACATCCTCCATCTTCCCTGACACAGACCCTCGCTGCAGGGCCAGGGGGGACGATGATGTCTTATGCAATGGGGTCGCTGAGTTTTAGGACTGCACAAGAATACTCTCCTAAGCCATAATTTTTGGAATACTGACTCATTCTTTGCTTACTGTAAGTTTAATATCTATTTCTTTCTGTATGCTTGACATAGCAAGTACACTAAGAGGCTGAGCTGAGTTTGCTCATTAAAACTGACAACTTTTAATCACCTGCTTTAATCCCAACTGCTCACCACTTTCAGACAATATAAGAACAGTTATAATAAAACCATTTCCTAATTACATGTTTACACAAATGTCAGGATGGGCTAACATGAAAAACAAGACATTACCTAAATTCTTCAGGTAACAGATTCTTTTAAATGCAAAATATCCAATTAACCACTTTTCAGAAAATTTTCATCTAATTCTTGGTTGGTCCCCCTTGGACAAAAGATTAAAGTAGCTCTGTAGGGGCGCCTGGCTGGCTCAGTCGGTAGAGCATTAAACTCTTGATCTCAGGGTTGTGAGTTTGAGCCCCATGTGGGATGCAGAGGTTACTTAAATAAAACTTAAAAAAAAAGAGCTGTAACCTGAGACTTCCAGGAAAACTGCATAAGCAAAGCAAAGTATGAGTAGCACCAACTTTAAATAAAATGCCTATATTCCCCCTGTTTAAAGTCCGTTACAGACTTTCTCAGTCTTAAATACGCTGGAGTCTTAATGAGAAAGAGACAGTCAGGAAGTCTGCAGGACTGACCGTATGGGACATGGCTAACCCTCGCCTGCCGCGCGCGCAGTCTAACGCAGAGAGAAGCATCTTGTCTCATTAAGTCTACATCCTTGTGACTTCAAAGGAACATTAACTGAGATCTACACTCAACTCAGCTTCAAGGTGACAAGTCCCACACCGAGAAATGGGGGTGAACCTGGGGAGGAAAGAGGAATCAAGTTGTATGGCAGACATTTAATCTAGGTATTTTGGGGTTAGTCTGGTCCTACAAACCTTTCTTCCAAGTTCCTGATTCGCATGTTTGTGACTAAAAGTAAAAGTACACGTTTTCCATATTTAGTATTCTCTGTGTAAAAATGTTTAACATGGTCTTCATGGACTTAGCCATTGCAAGATAACAACAGTAAAAACACCCCAAATGACAGAACTTGGAGCAGGAACAGTAGCTCCCTGTTGGGATGACAGCTGCCCTCCAGTGACCTCCGGGAAGTCTTACCTCCTGAGGAGGAAATGCTCAGAGGAAGGGGTTACTTGTTACAATTGGTTTCTGAAGCTCCACTTACAATTACATAATGAAGATGTCCCTGCTGTCAAAAAACGATTTGGGGGCAGATATAAAAATTAGCTAATTATCATGAAACTTTACTTCCTCGAAAGTCAAGATCTCTCAAAACCAGCTGATTCTAGATTCCAGCTGGTATGAAACAACGCGACGTTTCTTACGTTAGAACAAAGTCACGTGACTTTAATCACCTTCTCTATTAGAGTGACCATCACTTAAGGACAGGCCAAAGAATAATCACCCAGAACACAATACGATCCACAGAATTCTAACACATACATATAAACAGACACACAAACTGGAAGGAAATGAAGAAAAAATCTTTTTCTTGATCAAGCTTTTTGACTGCTATCCACGTTTTTTTCTAGGAACTATAAGAACACCTGTACCAATCTCTTTATATTTAATCCTCCAGGGCGCCTGGGTGGCTCGGATGGTTAAGCGTCTGCCTTCGGCTCAGGTCATGATCCCGGGGTCCTGGGATCGAGCCCCACATCGGGCTCCCTGCTCCACGGGGAGCCTGCTTCTCCCTCTCCCGCTGCTGCTCCCCCTGCTTGTGCTCTCTCACCCTCTTTCAAATAAATAAAATCTTTAAAAAAAATTCTATATTTAATCCTTCAGGAGACAGATCACGTATAATATGCTTTGTAAATTGTAAAAGCAATTGTTCTGCTTTGGGTATGTAATCCTAAAATTATTCATCTGGCTTTATTGGTTTTTTTTTTTTTAATATGGCTTTATTGTTTTTTTTTAAAGCCTTCAAAAATCTTCTAAATGGAGGTAATGTACTTGAATAATCTGATTTCCTGAAGAGGTTGTTGCTTCCTGGCAGTTCCCTGTCCTTTCAGGTGTCTGTCCCCACAGGTGTCCCTCCCTATAGGTGTCTGTCCCCACAGGTGTCCCTCCATATAGGTGTCTGTCCCCACAGGTGTCCGTCCCTATAGGTGTCTGTCCCCGTAGGTGTACTTCCCCGCAGGTGTCTGTCCCTGCAGGTGTCCGTCCCTATAGGTGTCTGTCCCCATAGGTGTCCCCGCAGGTGTCTGGCCCCACAGATGTCTGTCCCCACAGGTGTCTGTCCCCGTAGGTGTACTTCCCCGCAGGTGTCCGTCCCTATAGGTGTCTGTCCCCGCAGGTGTCCGTCCCTATAGGTGTCTGTCCCCGCAGGTGTCCGTCCCTATAGGTGTCTGTCCCCGCAGGTGTCCGTCCCTGTAGGTGTCTGTCCCCACAGGTGTCCGTCCCTGTAGGTGTCCGTCCCCGCAGGTTTCAGCAGACAGGCCTGAGACACTCATCCCTTCTAGGAAAGGGGACACAGGTCAGCGTGGAGATCTCACGTCTTTGCCGACCGATGCAGAGGCCGATCTATCTAAACCAGAGGCTAAACGTATTAGGCTTGTATTGCAAACATCTTCCAAAAACACTCCTTACCCTCACACTGAGTCTCCTTGAAATATTCACGGAGAAAGAAAATAGATTTATAGACTGTAAATCAGGTACTTAATTTAGATTCTAACTGACAACCTCCTGAAAATGGCTTGGAATTACAACCGCACTTGAGTGGGCGGGTTCCAGCTGAAGCCGGAGATAAGCAGGCCCACCCCACCCCTGCTCCCCCTCCTGTCTCTGCCCTACCCCCCACCACCATGCCCCTGCCCCCACACCCCTCTCCACCCCTGTCCGACCCCTGCCCCCCTGCCCCGCCCCTGCAGGTGTCCCACCCCTACCCTTCCCCTCCTGGAGCTGGTGTGCAGGGCAGGAGACGAGTCCGTGCCAGTGCTGGAACAGAAGAGCTATGGGCTGAGCTCTGCCTAAATCCCTGACCCGAAGGATCCTGAGGAATAGAAAACGATCGCTGTTTGAAGCCACTACACTTCGAGGTACTTTGTGATAAAGCGTGTCTGGGAAGCAACCTGAGAACCCGCAAGCTCCCAGGTGATGCCGATTTGCTGGTCTGCAGACCTCACTGTGCAAGGACCTAAGATAAACAGTCACGTTGAAAAAAGTCCTTACTACTTTTCCACCCCTGGCAAGGTGACTTGGCAATCATAAGACAGATGTTCTCACGAGCAATACCTACGCATGAAGGCTGAATGAAGTCTAAGTCTTCAACCACTTTCCTTTGAACATCAAAAGGGAAGAATCCCATACATTACAAAATATCAATAGATATAAGTAAACATTTCTAACAGAAGCTTAATTTTCTGAAACTATACTGAAGATCCTAAAGTTACAGAATGAAGCAGACAGAAAGGGTCACCATTTCACAGTAAAGAGTAACTGCTGTTGTTTTGAAATTTGGGTCAAACTCATTATCACTTTGAAAAAATGAAGTAAAATAAGGATCTAAGAATTAAGCTGCGCAAAATAAAGCATTACCTAAACTTTCCTTTTGAAGTACAATAATTAGCTCAGACCTGAATTAGCCAAATTTTAGGAAAGCATGGAAGGCACCATTTCTTGCTCAGGTGAGTATTACTTAGGGAAAAGCAGGAAACAGAAGTTAGAAGAAGAAAAGCAGCATAAGAATACTACCCCACAGCAGAAAGGGCGCCTGTCCTCCCCAACCGAGGGGTCTTCTTACAGATGCCCACGAGCACAGAGCGAGCCCACCCAGCCCCCGTCAGCGCTGTGTGTCAGTCTCTAGAAAGCCTGGTACTGCTGTCTTGACACTCATGGCAGGCACTGGCCAGTCACAGGCTTTAATTTCTAAGGACTATTTTGCCTCAGCCTCTTAGAAAGGAATCAAATGGAACAGAGAAGATGATAAAGCAAAAGTTTTCATTCCACAAGTAAGAAATCAGCTCATAAAAGAATAGACTTGGGCATACCTATTAGGGCTATCATGAAAAGGGAAAAACCCCACATGAAAACCCCCAGGAAGTAACAGGTGCCGGCGAGGACGTGCAGACAGCACAGCTCTGCTCTGCTGGCAACAGGTCAAGTGGGCAGCCGCCGTGGAGACAGCATGGTGGTTCCTCGGGAAACTCAACGCAGACGTCCGACACTGCCCAGCAAGTCCACATTTGGGAATAAGCCCAAGGAACTGAGGAGCAGGGGCTCGAGCAGACGTGTGATGAGCCATGTTCACAGCAACATTCCTCACGACAGCTAAAGCTGGAAGCGACCCCAGTGTCCACCATGGACGAATGCGTGAACAACGTGCGGCGTGCGCACCACGCTACGG